GTTCTTTTTAGTGTTATTTTCATCGCTTTAGACGTCGTGTCGTCTTTTTGTATTAAGAAGGGCGTCTTCTCGACTCTTTCAAAGATCCCACGCAACTGTTCTTTATCTAATTTGATGTTAAAGCCCTTGTCGGTGACAATCACATCACTGAATTTATCAAAAGTGTCGAACACTTTGATCTTCGCACTCGGGTTGTGCTTCTCAGTCGATAAACAAATGACCGTCATAGTAATTTGGTAGATCTCATCCGCAGTGATCCCATTGAAAATGCCGGGATTGCACTCACTAAATCGTCGCGAGAAGGCATTGATGACTCGCTCAACAACTTGCCCTTCACCACCCATCACAAACTGATCAAACATCTCCCGCATCGATAAGTCAAGTGGCTTGTCCTTGAAGTCTAAAGTGTTTAAAAGTAGCTCCAAACACTTCTGGTTCGTCTCTCCGGCCCCTCCCAAATAGTCTCCAAGTGCTATTCTGTCGACTTTAAATTGCCTCAAGAACGCCATAATACTCTGTGGTGTGTTTTCACACAACTTCTTCTCTATAAAGTACAAGACGCCTTGTTTCGCACTCTTCGCAAAGACAGTCAACCCTTCTGTAATCAAGTTCTTCGTCTGTTTCAAACACTTCACGTCATACTTCTTGATGGGAAATGCATTCTCGTCGTTATTGTTGTTCTTAAGAACGTCTTCGGAGTATTCTTTAGTCACTTCATAGAACGAAGAATAGACACACAACAAGATTTCAACGGACAGTCCACATGTCTCGGGAATAGAAAATAAGGAGACTAATATCCTGATGATGGTCTCATAGAGATTTGGAGCATCGACGTTGCAGTCGTAATTGAAAAAGAGCTCTTCGGCTATATTAGGAAGAGTGAAAAACGATTTCAAAAAGTTTAAGACTTGGAGTTGGATTGGCACACTTTGTTTGTTTAATAAATGAATGACGACTCGACTCATTATGACGCCTAAATTGTCCGTCATTAATTGTCTGTATTTGTCAACTAAAATGCCTAAGATGTCCAAACACGACTGGATGACTTCTGTGTTGGTGTCGTTCGCATTAAGAATAAGTGACAGCGAGACTTGCGCGACAAGTTGTGGATCGAAGAATTCTTTATTTGAACAGAACGGAGAGAGTTTCTCAAAGAACGTCTTCTCAAATGGCAAAATAGTCTTCCGACTCTTCGCGTTGATTAATATTTTAGCTTCATTTGTTATTGAATTTACATAAGTCGTGTGACATTCCACACCCCTATTACATTCAGTCCATGGGCTTGTCGAGTATTTTGTGATTTCGTCAAATAAAGTTTTACTCAATACAACAGCTTTGGCAGTTTGATCTTTTGGATTTTCAGAGTGGGCATCCAAATTAGTCAAAACAACACTCACAACGTTTTCTAAATAACTTTGGTATGTTACAATATTAGGCTATTAATTAGTAGAGTTCAATTATAGTATATAATATACTATACTATATAACAATACTATATAATACTATAATAGTATAATATACTTCTAATAATCAACAAACATCAGTAGCATGAACAACCATCGCAAGGTCATATAATGTCACAAATATCTTTTTAAAACATTTTGGGTTTAATTGTTCATTAAACACTTCAACTACTGTTTTTAAACACTTTGCCATTGGCAAATTAGTTGGGAGTGATATGTACTTGAATGTTGCTGACAATATATTCACAAGAATCTCTCCAACGTCCAACGACTCGCCATGGTATGTCATTGTCTTGGATATTAAAAATTTCTTCTCGATCAGTTGCTGTATAAAATCGATGGCCTTAACACACGTCCCAGACTTTTTCATTAAAAAAGCCTCATCAATGACTTCAAAAAAAGGCGTGATGAATGCGTCGGTCCCACTTAATACGTTTTCTGTGTATTTCACGTCTTGCATTTGAGTTTTAATACTTTCACATATTTCATTTAATTTCACCGTTTTCTTATTAACTGTTGCCATCATACTTTCAACAGTCTTTATCACATTGATATCGGCCTGTGACATCCTCTTTATAACTTTTTAGTTGTCACCAATTTGTTCTTCTGTCATTAACTAAACACTATTAATATATTTTCTATTTTTTGTTCTATCAACTGGTGTCCATATTATTCAACCCAAAAATCCTTTTTCCTCACAAAAATGGATTATCTTTTCAAATAATAATAATAATAATAATAAACTTCCCCGATTTAACGAAGACATTTTCTATATGTTGGACTTCATCCAAAAAAGTCGAAAAAAAAAGATATACAAAAATAGAAAAATCAGTTACTAAAAAATCTACAATTAAATGAATAATTTTTTTACTATACTCAACAATTTGTCGTTTTTAAAACTAAAAATATAATAAAAATATAAAATTTATATTTAAAAGGTATATTTTATATAATTTTAGTTTTCAAATATTATAATTATAATAAATATTAATAGTAATAATTATATTTATAATTGTTATTATTTTAATAAAACACATTTTTAATTCATTAATAAAACTCATTTGAAAACATAACTCTAATAATAACACATGTATTACAAAAATCCTGTTTGGTTCTCTTCTTCATATTCAGTGTCCGCTTTAAATGTTTGAAAAAGATTATTTAACGAGAAATTAGATAGGACTTGATGGTCAAAAGCATTGAAAATAGGCAGTCTATCTTCCTTATTAGACTCTAAAAAATCAGCGACTATTTTATTCACTTTTTCACCAATATCTTTTATTTGTTGCTTATCAAATATGATCTCATTGTTATATAATATCTTTTCTATTTTTATCATCTTCACAGTCTTAAGAGATTTCTTCCCTTCTTTTGTGATAAATTCAAATCCAATGTTTTCAAGTGTTTCAACAAGAAGGTTGAAAGACATTGAAGCACGACTTAACTCCCTTCTTCTTTTTATGGTTTTTAAATTATAAGATTCATTTGTCTTAGACAATTTTAACAAGTCGTCTTCAAGTCTAGAATCACAATAAGTACTGATCTTCGTTTCAAAGGACAATCTGTTGCAATAATAAAAGGTTTCCATCACATAAAAAAATTGAAGAGTCTTATTTGCTTTCCTTTCAGGACGACGTAGTTGAAAAGAAAAGCCAATGGTATTCATTAGACCTATTAACGTACTTTGTTGAAGTGCTTCGAATGTCTTTGACTTGTGCTTGTTCTCCAATTTAGAAGACATTGCGTAGTGACATTTCATAATATTTGATCTGCTTATATATGTCCATTGTCTGTGTCACACAGGAGTGGCTCTCACCCTATATATAGAACGATTTCAGTGTTTTTTTATTTATTATAAAGTTATAATAATTAATTGAAAAATAAATAAGAAATTTAAAAAAATTTAAAACATGCCTGAAAACAATTAAGCTTAAACTTTTGAAAATAATTTATTTTTTTCAATTTTTTTGTGACAATATTATAGTTATCATTCTATTATTATTATTATTATAATTTGATACAAAAACCATATTAACTATATTTTATTATATAATTGTTATTTAAATAATAGTTTTACTTTAATTATAGAATTAGAAACTATAATACTCCAAACCTGTTTTTTTCTTAAAAATAGATAAATATTTCCTTATTTGGTTAATAAATTTGATATAAACTATAATTGAAATGTTATTTTTACTACTTAAAACATTATTATTGCAAGTTTAAATAAATCAAAGTTAGAATTTAACTGAAGTCATTAACTATAATTAATTAACACATTGATAAAAAGTTAATATAAAATGTAAAATAGTTTAATTTATTATATTAATTATATTATCTAATTTAAAAATTTGAAATATAGGATTAAGGTACAGTTTACCATAACAAAAAACACTTCTTGATTTTCAAGTTAAATTAACACATTCCGTCGTTATCTCACCAAAGAAAAATAATGAATAACATTTAACTCGCTTTTTTTGGATCAACTATTTATTTGACAGAACATAACATTCGATAGTTTGTTTTATGTATTTATTTTCTATTATAATTAGTTATCTTTTATCATTTTTATTGTATTATGACAAAACTATTTTGAAATAAAATAATTAAAATATATTTGTAATAATATAGATTAATACGAATATCCAATACCAATAAAATATATTATTAGTTATGTTTTATACAATAAGAACCAGCATTAAACGAGAATTAAACCAACATATTGTATATTATAGTATACAGTTTAATTAATTAATTATATATAAAAAAACTAAAGTAATTAAACAATTTCCTGAAATAAACATTTTTGAAGTTATAATATTTTATAATATATTTAAACCATATATATATTATTAAATAATCACCTAAAGACGAATTCTTTCTGTGGTTTTATTTATCAACTTATTTCTTATTTTTGCCACAAATATTCGAAACCCTTTTTTTAACATTACTTCGTTCAAAATCGACTCTCCTAGAAGAATATGAGCCATTCTACCAACTTTAAAATCAGAACGACATGAGTAACCATCCAGACTTTCTTTCACACCAAAATGTACATTTAAAATCTTTGCAACCTGGAGTGTATGAAGGGTGGCTTAGAAAAAGAGGTGTTAAAATTAGAACATGGAAGCGGCGCTATTTTGTGATTAAGAACAACTTTATCTTCTACTTTCCGTCATCACAGCCGGACTCTACGCCGAAGGGGATGATTGAGCTCAACTCGAAGTCACAAGCAAAGCTGTTAGATCAGACGTTTTTGAATATAGTAGTTACAAGTGTTCATAGAGACCAGTACATAATAGCTGAGACTCCAGACATTGGGGCGTCATGGGTAGATGCAATCAACAACCAAATACGAACACTTAAAAAGATCGAAGATCAAGGCAAAGATGATGAGAAACGAGTGGCGCCAACAAAAGGGATACCATCTGATGTGATGTCTGAAATAGCACGAATTCGAGAAGAAAATGACGACAAAGTGCCGCCATCGTCGCTCACAAAATTGATCAAGAATGTAGGGGATGATACAATGGAAAGATATTTGTATTCGATCTTGTCTGAAGTGCTGAGAGATTGGGACAACAAGCAAATTGGAAGATATTTCTATTCCAATTTCTGTCGCAATTACGTCCGCGTTGATCATCGAGCAAATAAGAGAAGAATGTCTCTGATGAAAACAGGGGAAGGGAAAGCAGACAAAGTGTTGAGTGATTTGAATTTATGCTTTGGTGGTGTACAACGGGCAGTTCTTGGAGCTTATGGTGCTGAGAGAGAAAATGATCAAGACGAATTGATGTTTGTGTTTGGAAAGACAAAAGCAGCAGGTGAGCGACTTGCTGACATTTACAAGACAATCATTGCTGAATACTCAATCGGCCCTTCAGAAGTCATTCGAACTATATTCGACGCAATGGAGACGTGGAAGATGAGAACAGACGAAGAGATCTTTCTTGCGTTTGTTGGCGGGATGATGGAGGGCTGGGGACCAGAACTGGTCGCTTCATTTGTTTCACTTCTTTTCGTCTACACAAAAGAACAAGACTCATTCCCACTCTTCGAAACACCTTGGGTCGAAATGCCAGATTGTTGCATTAAATTTTTAAAAACATTTACAGATCAGTGGAGTACAAAAGACACTAAATCGTTCTTTGTTATTGGGAAAATGTTGTGGAATGTTAACGAAGAGTGTGAACAGAAGATTAACAAGATCTTTGGTGTTTGAGTACTAATTTGTGTGCGTTGTGTTGATAGATCTGTCAAAAATTCAACTTTTATATTGAAAATTCATTTCTTTCTGTCTTAAATACTATTTTTATAATGAATTAATACCATTTCAATGTATTTAATTTATCATTATAAATACTATTATAATAATTACTATTTTATCGCAATGCAGTTGCGATAATTAAATAAACAAAAATAACAATAAAATTAGAAGAACCGATTTTTACAAAGAAGACCTTAATCAAGAATAACAACACACCTCATATCACCAGTAAAGTTGTCAACAAATTTGTCTTCTTTCGTCTCTTTTATTTTTTGTGCTGATTTTTCGTGGACAGGTCCAACCTTTTTTTCAAGCGATTTGTAATTTTTAATAGGGAATTTCACCAAAAATAGCCGGAGTTGGTCTTTATTATTTTTAATGTTATACAGTGCTGGGATCTCTAACAAAGGTGGGATTTTGAGGAAGGGTGAGACCAATTGCTTTTGGATTGTCTTTAACTCATCTGAACACCAACAGACGTTCTGTCTTTCAAACTTTTTCTCCTCCAAAAGAGATTTGTAATTGGTGACCAACAGAAGTAATTTGAAAATATCGACCATTTCATCTATACACATTGAAATAGATTGTTGTAAATAGTCGTTTGCAGTTTGTTTCCTAAAGAAGTCACCAACAAAAGAATTAAAGGATTTGAATAACATAAATGTTTCAGTCTCAAGAAGACCAATTTCAACTGGTGTTCTGAGAAATTCTGGAATGCTTTCTCCCTTGTACAAAGTGTATTGCCCATTAAAACAAGAGTACTTCTTGTGGAAATTGAGTGCGTGTTGAAGTGGAACCGAATACAATTCTCCCCAATGAGACAAATGTGAGGTGTCTGGTTCAAAGACGTTTTCTGCATTTCTCTTCTTGACAAAGGTGAGATTTTCAATTCGATTATAAATCTCTGGATTTCCGTTCCTAGAAATGTAGTGGTACAACAACATCGATTTAAATGAGACTAATGTGTGAGTAGTCTTGATATTCTTTTTAATTTTCTTGGCAATGGCATGGGTGTCTCCTTTGAAGCTTCTTGCGACAAAGTAATTGAACTGTGTACCTTCATTTGCATATAATGAGTCGAAAAACTCATGCAACATATAATGGAGCTTTAGGTAGTTCATTTACCACAAGCAAGTTCTATTGAAATTGTTTTTATAAGTCAACCTCGTTCTTCTTTTTTGTGTAAATGCTAAAAGAAGCTTTTGTAAATGTTAATGAAACCAATAGGTTATAATTAAAATTCACTAAACAATAGTTTATTGGTTATTTGAGGATGATTCAAACAACAAAGTCAACTCAAATATGGTGCCTTGGTCTAAAACAAAATTGTTTGGGTAGTAATTTCTATTTCTTTTAGTTTTCTTTTAAGATGTGAGAACATGTTTAAAAGAAAACAAAAAACAAATGGCCACAAATCGGGTAATTAAAAGAAAAAAAAGATGGTGAGAAGTTAAAATAGGAAATATTATTTAAAAGTGTTGGAAATTGAGAAAACACGGTTGGTTTTTCGTATATTTTACATAACAACATTTTATATTAAAGATGATATTAAAGATATAATGTATTTACTCAACAAAATGATAAATGGAAGTTATAATTTCAAATATAATATAATTAATATATTTCAATATAACAATTATTATCAATAATAATACATTTAACATTTAAATTATTGAACAATAAAAGACGATTAAAATTTATAACAAAGTAAATAACAAGTTATTTATTGTTTTTTTTGACTTCATTTTTTAATTGAAACGAGTAAATTAAATTTACTAAATTTAAAACAAATTCCTTATTTTTAAATAATTGTAAAACTCGGATAAACTGTCGACATTAATTGGAGTGTTATGTTTAGATATTTGTGTCATAATACTGATAAAATAAAAATAAAAGTAGCCATAATTACCCACTATTCATGGTTTATATACAAAACAATTACATTGTTAAAATAGCCTTCATTTTGTTCATGTTATTATTTTATCAAATAATGGCGAAATTAAAACCACCTTTACCAAAATAAAATATTTGCCGCGAGTGTTTTTTGAAAGAAGTCCATTTTTAAGCTATGTTTTGTGCTTCCTTATGTCACCCACTTTCTTTCGCCGTACTATGTGGACATTGATGTTGTTTCTCGCTTGCGAAGGGTCAGGGGGATCCACGCTAAGGGTGGAAATGGAAAATGATGGAACGGGTGCACAAACAAACTGTTTAAATGAGACGGTTTGTGCTTTTTTTTTCAATATTCCATATTTTCTGACTCAAGGTGAATTTTCGGCATTTCTTGAATTGGGGAACCATCATTAATATTTACTTATCTTCCTATTTACTATAAAATTAATTTGAATATTATATCAAATAGTAAATAAACTCTATTTTTAGAGGTTATGACCAGTGTAGGTTCCAACAAATAAGGTTTATGATAAACTAACACATAAAAAATTTTTAAATAGTATTGTTTTATGTATTACTAATACAATATATTTATATTAGTAATATAGTACACAATACAATATTTTTATAGTATTAAACAAAAGTTATAATACTTGATGATATATTAACATTATTAGATTGATTTATTCTTTAATTAAAGTCAGTCTTTACAAGTTCTTTTTTTTTAAAGAAGTTTATAGATAAAAATGTTCCAAACTTACGGGAAAAGACAAGTAAAAATATTATAATTAATATAACTATTCAGAAACCATATAACCAATAACACAACTAATAACATAAATTAGGTTTAGACCATTTGACCAATCATTTTCAAACATCAAAAAATGAATAGATACAATTGATTTGGTAATAATTTGAATAAAATAACAGAAAAATATTACTGTTATTTTACTTCAAACTTCAAATAAAGTATAAAATCTTTTAGAAAATCAATGAGTTGATAAACTGGCTGTCTGAAACAACATCACATTTTTTCTTCGATTTCCAACATCTTCTTTCTTTGATTTTTGTGGTCTTATATTATCAGTTATAGTTGTTTGATTCATTGTCGTATTCGATCGTTTGATGCGTGTTCACTAACATGTTTTTGAGCATATCAACATTGTTTGTTGTTTATGTCGCGTACCAAATAAATTATTTTATTCGTTAATGTAAAAAAGCATCACTTCTATGTTTTTAGTGTGAATTGTTGGCAATCAAATGTATTATTTTTTGTTTTTGCAAAGAAAATTTTGAGTTGTCAAAAATTATTGACCAATCATATTCAAGAAATGAAGTTTAACACAATAAATATAGTTTTACGACTAACTTTATTACCAATTCTAAAACTTATAATAAATATGTTTATTACAGTTGACCAAATAATTGTAAGAAGTAAAATAAATAGTTTTAAAACTTAAATTAAGAACTATTATAAAAATAGATTCAAGTTTATTAGTATTTTTTGGTGAACCTTTATTTCACTTCTTTTAACCCGTTATTTTAAGGTAATCAATGGGAAATACACCCTTCTGACAATTATTTGGTCAACTGTACCTATATATTTTATATATAAATAATATATTTCGAAAACTATAATAAATAAAATTATTTATTAATATAATTATATTATATTAAAAAATGATTATAACATTATTATAAAAAACATGTCTACATATTTTTATTATTTATAAAAGTGTAATTACAAAAGCTGCGAAAAAAAAACAATTTTTATTATAGTGATAAGTCATTAATAATTATAATGACTTGTTATTATTAAAAAAATAATTTAAATTATTCTATAATTGTAAATAATTCATTGAATGAATAAATCAAATACCAAAATCAAACGAAGCTTCAAAAACACACTTAAAGACTCAACATAGTAATATCGCATTAAAAAAACTATATCATTTATCAATACACTAATACGTAATAATTTAATAGCCTATTAGTCGTTATGGTATATTTATTTAATTATTATTTTTCAAAGAAAACTATAAAAAGTTATAAATGAAGTTATGAGAAAAATACACATTATTATCGTTTTTTAAATTAAAAATTATTCATAAAGTTAATTCAAAAAATTCACAAAAAAAGTTGTAAAAATTTCATATTTAGGTTATTTTAATGAGTATAATGAAAAATAAATACACATATTATTTTTTTAATTATCTAGTGGATTGAATCCTCCACCCAAAAAGATAAAATACAAATGTATTAATATTATTTATTAAATGTATTAATATTATATTGTTTATAATACAATTGTGTTATATTGTTTGCGCTCTAAATCTTTCATTTTAAATTTTATACCTCTTTTTGCTAAAAATAGTTTTTTTTAAATGAGCGAAAGAGATTTTTATTTTTTTATTAAATTCACATCAAAATATCAAAGGGTTGTCCATATAAAGACAACTAGAAGATCATTGCTTCTCATTATATGGCCCGTAATCGATATTTCAATCCCCTTCCAGAAAGCGACTTCAAATCTGTGTTGGCAGGTTTCTATTTGCAGATGGTTAACGAATTTGCGTCGTTTTCATTAAAGACAAGCAAAGGTGCTGCTTCAAATAATTTGTGTTTTCCACAGATCCTACATGTATGTTTCGATCAGACACCAAAAGAAAACAGCGAGGAAGAAATTAACGTGAATAACTATTTGAAAATGCGCATAGAAAATTATATTGACAAACAAAATATGACTTCATCGCAAATCAAGAGATTCAGAAAAGAAGAAACTCTCAAGTTGTTGGAAGACTTGATTTGGATTAATTCTTCTGGACAGTACAACAAAAAAGAAAAGAGTTTTACTTTTCTATTAAATGACCATGAAAAAAATGTCTATACGAACGGAGCTATAAAACAAATTGGAAAGGCAGTATTGAATAAAATTAAAGTCATGATGTCGACATCATTAAACAAACGAGTTATAATTGAAAAAAATCAACTCAACTTCACTTCGACGTTGTAACAACATACCTTTAATACCTAAAGGTATAAAATGTAAAAAGAACAAATGCCATTTTTAAATATTTTTGTTATTTGTGTGGCAATTCACATCAAGTATCAATTGCGATATAAATATTTTAAAAAAATTAATTTAAACCAATTACAATTTTATATAAAACATATTAATATTAATAATTTCTTTTTTGTCGCAAAAATCAACTATTGCGATAAAAAAATAATTATAAATAACAAAATTTTCCTTTCAAATAGTTTTTTAATCCGTATTATTTAATATACCATATTTTATTATTCGTCAAACCACAATAAAAAATTTGATTTAAAAAATGTTTGTATTAAACAATTAATAAACAAACTATATTTTTACTATAAAAGAAACAATTTTTTTATTATTAATTATTTGATCTAATTTGATAAAAACCCCAAAACCAACAAATAAAAATGAGGAATTAGCTAAACATACTTTTTTAATTTATTTTTCAAACTATTTACGTAGTTTGACTGTTTCTTTCCGCTACAAGAAGACACTTCACAATTTGAAAATCGTTTATTGAACAAATCATTTTTCTTCTGTTTTTACTCAGAAGAAAAAAATGTAATAAACAATGTGAACGATTTAAAAATTTGGTAAAGAACAGTTTGTCGAAATTTGTTCCCAAAAAAATGGAAAAACTCAAACGAAAAAAATCAACTAAAAAATAATACAAGAAGTGTGCATGTCTGTTTCAAGCACATGGAATTCAAACCAAAATATGAATTCCGAATTCATTAAAACGCCCATTAAATTACGCACAAAACCATCAAACAAGAGTTCTCCCAAGTCTTCGATGGTCACAAGTCTTTCCGACTTATCACAAATTTCGAACATCACAAATGTTTCCAACTCGACTTTTTCCCGATTTAGTTCCTCAACACGTCTTCCAAATGTCAAGCGACAAATTTTGACTTCGACAAATTCGTATGTTTCTCCGCTTCTTTCAAAGTGTCTCACTCCGGTCATTTCCAAGGAGAATTCCCTCTTTCATGTCAACACGCTTCCTCGCAGTTCCGAAGTGACTCTTCCAAAGGGGATGAAGTTCAAAAGTGACTACTCCCCTTCTAAAACAGACCAAATCATCCACTACGTCCACATCGACTCAATCGCAAATTTCTACAAGTCCAAAGGAATATTAAAACTTTTTCCTTGGCAAGTCGAGTGTCTTGAGAAGAGTGAAGTTCTTGCTGGAAAGCGGAATTTCGTGTACTCTGCGCCGACGTCTGCGGGGAAGACTTTAGTCAGCGAGATGTTGATGGTCCATCGCTATTGCCAAACGCAACGGAAGACGATCTATATAGTCCCCTATGTTTCTCTTGGTAACGAGAAGGCAAAGTACTTCGCCGAGCTCTTTGCGAGTACCCGCAATGTCGTTTGCGGGTTCTTCCAGTCCCGTCCGATTCACACGAATTTTGATATTGCTGTGTGCACCATAGAGAAGGCGAATGCGTTAGTCAACAAGATGATACAAGACAAGACGTTTCAGAAAGTCGGGATGATAGTAGTAGATGAGATCCACATGCTTGCTGACAAGTCGCGTGGATACATATTAGAGACTCTTCTGAGTAAAGTGATGTATGTGGGGGGACACATTCAAGTCATAGGGATGAGTGCGACGGTTCCAGACATCCACGTCATTGGTATGTGGTTGAAAGCGGAGACGTATGTGTGTACGTATCGACCTGTAGAACTCACTGAGAACGTCGTGTGTGAAAATAAAGTGCTGAGTAAAAGTGGAGAAGTGTTAAAAACACTGTGTGGAGGGGGTGAGGTGAACCAAATCGTTGAATTGATTTTAGAAGTGAGTGAAGGAGGGAAAGGGGTGTTGTGTTTCTGCTCTTCGAAATATGGATGTGAGAAGATGGGGAAGGACATTGTTGCGAATTTGAAGAAGCGCAAGAAGGGTGGCTTTGGATTGAATGAGGACATCGAAACGCTCAGAGAGTTGATGGTTGAAGAACTGCGGACGAATGTGAATGGCAGCGACGAGGAGTTATTGAAATGTGTGAGGTGTGGATTAGCATATCACCATAGTGGCATAACACAGGAAGAGCGCGAGATACTTGAAAAGGGGTTTCGGGAGGGTGTTTTGAGTTTAATAATAGCGACGAGTACGTTGGCTGTTGGAGTTAATTTGCCTGCGAGTCGTGTGATCTTCAATCGGCCGTATATTGGCATTGACTTTTTGGATGTTGGGAGGTACCGACAGATGTGTGGGAGAGCTGGGAGATTAGGGTTTGACACGAAAGGGGAGAGTTATTTGTTTGTGAAGGTGAATGAGAAGAAGAAAGTGCTAGAGATGGTGAATGCGGTACTTCCGCCGTTGCAAGAGAGTGTGATGGAGAATGAGACGAGTAAGATGTCACAAAGTATCTTAGAGGGAGTTGAAGATAAGATGATTGCGACTGAGATTGATATGGAGAAGTACTGTCGGTGTAGCATATATACCGTGTCTGACAATCCGGAGACTGTGGAATACACACAACACAACAGAGAGATAATCAACAATGCTATTCAGATACTCATGGGGAGTCTAATGGTTGAGGAGAGTATGAATGCGTGTGGAGAGAAAGTCTATGTGACGACACAATTTGGGAAAGCAACAGTCAACAGTGGTATTGGGATGGACGATGCGCTGCGCGTCTACAGCGACTTGAATGAAGCGAAAAAGAAGATTCATGCGGACAGCGAGTTGCAAGTGTTGTATTTAGTGTCTGCTATTAACACGTCGAGCGAAGTTGATTGGGACGTCTTCGAGAGGAAGTATGAGGAATTGAATGAGACGGATCGAGAGATATTCAATGAACTTAAAATTGATGTGATGTTTGTTCGCGAGATGCAGAGCAAGAAGAAGACGAAGGAGGATGTGAAATTGCGGAAGCACCAAATGGCGTATTGTGCGCTGGTGCTGAACGACTTGATTAAAGAGCGCGACATTAGCGAAGTTACTAAAGAGTATAACATTGCACGAGGACATCTTCAGGCATTACAGACAAACACTGCGGCGTCTGCGAATATCATAGCGCAGTTTTGTGTTCAATTAGGGTGGGATATGATGTATGCGGTGTTTGCTGCGATTGTTGATCGACTGAATTATGGGGTGAGAAGAGAGTTAGTCGACTTGACACGAATAGAAGGAGTGAAAGGGAGACGAGCGAGAGAATTGTATAAGTGGGGATTGAGGAGTGTCGATGATGTAGCTGACGCAACAGTGGACCGAGTGACGGACATCCTCCAGAGGATGAGAAGACCTGTTGAAAAGAATGGGTATGTAGGGGGGGTCATGGGACAGAAGGTTGATGCTGGAGTGGCGCGGAAGATCATTAGGAATGCAAGAGAACTCACTGGGAAATTGAGTGCCGCGGAGAAGGTAGCCGTTGCGATACAAAGTGGGGTGAGGAATGGGATAGTGAGGAGTGCGTCTGCGATGGAACAAGAGATGTCGATACATTACATTGGAAATGTTTGCCATCCTGAAGATGAGAAGAGTGTTGAGAGAGTTATACATCTCTTGAGAGAAGAGAGAGAAGTTGGGTGTTTTTTGAAGATAATAGGAGAGGGAGAGTCTTTTGTAGTTGGAGGAGTCGAGTATTTCAAGGAAGAGTATGTTGAAGGTGTAGCTGTGGGGATGTTGCACGAGATGTATTACATCAAATACCACAAAAGGTGCTGTGGTGATTGTGTGCTGAGGAAAGTAATAATTCCCGAATTGATTGGGAATGGGGAAAGGAAGTGGAAATTGAAGATGTTCAATTTTAAAAAGAACTTTGGGTACTTGAAAGAGGGAGCCGAGGTCTATGACGAAGACAAAGTCGAAGATGTTTTGAGAGAGTATTCTGCAGTGTTAGGGAACCAAGTTGAAGTGAGAGGTGGAGAAGAAGTCACGATCCAAGATGTTGCGGAAGGATATATGGGACAGGTCGGGAAGCTGATACCTACAGTTCAAATTGAGAATTTGAAGGAAGTGAGGAAAATAGCGAGGTCAGAGATAGTAGACGACTGTTATATCAATCAGATATTCGAGGCGTGTAACAATTGTTTGCTTGTTGTTGCATTGTCGAAGGTGTTCCAGAACGAGTTAAAGAAAATGATTGAAGAAATTAAAAACAAAAGCAATGAATGAGCGACTTATGTGTATGTTTAACTGTGTTGATTATAGAACTATAATTATTAATTCTTTATTAATATCATTAACTATTTTTTTTATAATTGTTTTATGATAGTTAAAGAGTGTTAACGTGATAGGGCGTATCCACACGGAAATTGTGAATCCCTGCGGATTGGAATATTTTGTGTGGATAGCCTCTTATTTTTTTGTCGAAAAAACCCAAATATCCGTTTTAAACCATATGTTATGATTTTTAAAACTAATAATTGTTACTTATAATCATTTATAGGACAAAAATGATACACAAACATAAATACCCCCATAAGGAGTATTTCCAATATTTGCAATAATTTCATAGTAAGAAAAAACGCTATTTTCAGCCTTTTTTGAAGTGGTAAAATAAGAATAGATCAAAATGAACAAATAAAATAACTAACAAAATTTACGTGTATTATCCCGTTTATTTGATATATGTAACACTATTTTTTTCGTTTTTTTAATTGAAAAAACATTTCAAAAGCGATTAATGGGATTATTATTTGGGGAAATTCCCGTTTTTTGCATTAAAAAATATTTAATTTTAATATCAATTAACAAATATATTATTTTTTTTTGTTAATCGTGGCTCAAAAATGCATTTATCATCACTTTTTACTAATAGTATTGTAATTTATATAAACACTCCATTAGTTTATTATTTTAATAATAATATTTGGGAATTGAAATATGTTAAATAATGATTTTTGTTGGCGCAAATTATACGTATAAAAAAGGGTTTTACATCCTAAATTATATTCTGGTTTTGTTGAAAATGTTAAAGACAAAGGTTTTATGTCTAAACTAAACTATTAATTGATAACAATAAATTATATTACAATAGTACATTATTTATTAACATAAAAATGACAGAATAATCACAAAACAAATTCTATTAACATAGTTAAATAAAATGTAATTTTTACTATAAAAAAGTTAAAAAGTTAAATGGCAAATTACCACATTGTAACAATAAGTTATTATTTATGTTATTAAAAAATCATAACAATACCTATTAATTAAAATAGAAACATACGGCAAATACCAACAAAAACCATCAAAAAATACAAGTCATGTTACTCATTACATTTAACATGTAATAATAAAGATTGTCTATCTATATTTACCATCCACACCTTTTTAACCTATCCACAGTAAACTATGCGTTAGTATTTTATGACAAATTATATGTTATTTTATAAATTATTCAATTTTAATAATTTTATTGATTAAATATAGTTTATACAATTAGTTAAATAAACTAAAGTTAATTAATAAAAAACTTTAGTCTTAAAATTTTTAACAAAATTGTTTTTTTTTGCGGCAAATTAATTGAAATGGTAAAAGTAAAAGATGACTTTGACTAAAAATAAAATTTGTTTTTTCTGTTTTAACTTTCAAAATAATCGCTTTTTTATGAATTCGGTCCAAAAAACGTATTTTTTGTAAACTCTTAGGCAAATTTTATATTAATTACGACAAAAATGTGTAAGATTTTCAAAGCCATTCACACAAAAGTGGTCTATCACGTTAACACTCTTAAAAGTGAAGTAGGTAATTAAGAATAGTTAAAATATTAATAATATAACTATTGAAAAAAAGAGTTGAGAAAAAGTTCCTCATTGACAATTGTTAACTATATCTAATCACAATTTATATTATTTGAAACTACCTCCAAATGTTTTTTTGGAATTTAAAAAAATGGAAAATTTTTTAGTTAATTTGCCATATTTGTAACTAAAATAATGACCATAGTTGTAATTTATTTTTGTGGTAAAAAAACAACCAAGAAAATTCCAGTTTTGTGGTCTGTTTTTTTATGAAATGATTTTAATAAATTGTTCAATAAAAATAAAGTTAACTTTTGTAATTATGAACTCTTATTTATTTAATAAAATATTATATATTTTTACAATAATAATATTAAAAAAAATACTAACAATAAAAATTGATATTTGAGTTTAAAAAATCTGGTTTGTTTCTAAAAATATTAAACATTGTTTTTCATTTTTTAATTTAGTGTTAATTAAAAAACAGTTGGCATTTTTACATTAATAAATCCACGAAGTTATATTTTGTATTAAATATGTAGATGATTGGTAAATTCTTGTTAATATATTTATTGATTTAGTAATTTTTTAGTAAATCACAAAATGTAAATGTAATTAAACAAAGTATTATAATTATTATAAAATACTAATACATATAATTTTAAAAAATATAAACACAAAACATAAACATTTCACATTATTAAAATTTTTTTTAAAAAAAATTAAATTAAAAATAATTACCATAATAATTAATTAATGAAAAACCTCAATTATACCCCCGCAATATCAATGAATTTTTGTGCCTTCTTCAAGTATTTAAAAGTGATAATTAAAATTTGGATAATTAACTAAAGTAAAAATGTACCATTTGGCTGAAACATAAAAACATCACACATGTTGAAATGCCAAATCCTCAAAACAACGGAGTGGATATATAAAGAGCACTCAAATTTGATTATACAAACAATGTCTTCGCACCACATTTGTAACACGTTACCAACGACAACACACTTCCACGGAGTGATGAGAATCACAAAGAAGAACGCGCTCTTGAACAAAATTGCGACAAAGCCGTCAAAGCTGAGACAAGACCTCCAAATCAATGAAGAGCAAAACGTTATTCAACTTAAAAGGGTTTCTGTTATCCACACATCCGATTCGATCGCTAAGTACTTTAGTAAGTTTGGGAAGGTCGTTCAGGTGAAGCTTTCAAAGTCTTCAAGTATCTCTCAAATCGGCTTTGTCACTTTCGAGAAGAAAGAAAGCTTGGCCCATGCACTGGCGGCGAAACCGCCACATGGAGTTGTGTTCTAAAATAAGAACAACATATTCAACACTGAATTCTTTGTATTAATTAATTTATTATTAAAATTACTATTTTTTATGGAATTATAATATTAATTATAATTAGTTAAACATATAGTTACTCTATTTGATACAGAACTTATATAGGTCTTTTTTAATTAATTTGAACCAATTTATAGTTATATAATATATAATTATTTTTTAATTATGATAATAGTTTTTATTAATTAATTAAGAATTAATCATAAAAGTTTTGTATATAATAGAGAAAACACGTTTTATATATAGAATTGATGACGTAACAAAAAATACAAAGAATTAGTTTGAAACTATAAAC